GGAGCTCTTCCGAGGGCAAGAAGGCAGACAGCTGGCAAATCGCTTGCTCAGTTTGCTGGTTTATTAATCAGAATTGCGAACGCGAGTGTTTGGCTGAAGTCTCCCACGGAGGATCACTGTGGAGAATCAGCCTTTCCCGGTGACATCGCAGAACCCGACTGCAGGTAACGCCGCAAGTGGAACGGTTCCCTTGTCTCACGGATCAGCCTGCCACTTCCCAACACTCAGGTTTTCACCCATTACGTTCCGTCTGGGTTTTCTTACGTGCGTATGATTGAAGCAAAACTTCATGTCTTGGTTATGCAGAGTCGTGTTTCTTCTTCCCCCACCTCTTCCCAGTTTTGCAGTGGGTGTCAGTCTAAATGGAAAACAGGAAGACAAGCGTTTTCTAGCTTGCTTAAGCCAACTAGAGATGCTTGGAAATACATTCTTGAACGTGAGGGGTGAATGTTTTTCTTTTGGTCAGTTTGAGGAGCAGCAGGCATTTGAAAAAAGCCGGAAGTTCCTCAGGCAGCTGGAGATCTGTTTTGCCGAAAATCCTGCCCACCACCAGAAGATCATCAAGGTTTTGCAGAGCTGTGCGGACTGCCTCCCCCAGGAGATCGCAGAGGTAATCGGGCGTCCAGGTATCTCCTTCCCCCAAGCCCCCAGGAGTGCCATTAGTCAGCTGGCTCCTTGAGCCCACGAGCGATCGGTGGGGAGCGCTGGAGGACTGAAGCTGCCTCGAGGCTTTACAGTTAACCGGCCTGTGAGTCTCCTCTCCTGCCCCCACCTTGCTTTTAGCACCTTGCAGGTGAAATTTTAGCTTAGTGCCTCCTGCGGAGTCTGCCTGGGATTCTGGAGGGGTATGTCTATGCTGATGTCATAGCTGGATGGGGAATGATCTCCGAGTATTCATGGAGTAGTACCAATGCCAGCGTAAACTTCCACGTTGGAGGTCCAGTAGGCTTGGATGTTCCGCTTGCTGCGTGAAACCCTTCCGAGAACGGGATGACGTGGGATGAAGCGCTCGTTTTCTCTGCATTTCTCTCTTTCAGCTGAAGACCCAGATGTGGCAGCTGTTGAAGGGACACGACCACTTGCAGGACGAGTTCTCCGTTTTCTTTGATCACTTGCGGCCCTCAGCCAGCCGCATGGGAGACTTTGAGGAGATCAACTGGACGGAAGAGAAGGAATATGAGGTGGAGCAATCTCTTCCCCAGGACCAGGAAAGATAAAAGCAGAGATGCTAGACATGTTTGAACTTGAAGGATTCAGACTGAGGCTACATTTCCAGAGTGAGGGAAGCGGCAGGGTGGGATAGCGGCTGGTGGGCTGAAGCCAACTTTAGAGCGTTTCACTGCATTTGTCTCGTGTAACACAACCAAACTTGTCCTGGGACTGAGCTGAATACTCATAAAGCCCCGGGGAAGTGCAGTTGGGTCAGCTGGAGGGAGAGCTGTCGCAGAGCAGTGTTTGTGTGCTTCTGTTTTTGTAGTTTGATGGGTTTGAAGAGGTGTCTTTGCCAGATGTAGAAGAGGAGGAGGAGCCACCCAAGATGCATGCAGCCTCAAAAAATAAGAAGCGGAAAGAGATGGGAGGCCAGAACAATGACAAGGTGGGCCTGGGGTGTTTCACTGGGCAGCACATCTGGACTCCGCATGCCCACGCGGATAGATGTGTCTTAGAGAGACATGACAACAGCTTAAAAGGATGGGAAGAAAGGGGATTGAAATGTTTCCTTTGTGCTTTGCTGGCTAGTGGCGTAATCTTCAGGTTTCTGAGTGTGTGCAGAGTGCCACTCAGCCCTTCCTGGCTCCCTCTGGGATTAACCTTCCCCCGTCTGTCCCCTTTGTGTACCGTGCACATTTGTCAGCTGGAGTATGTCTGTTTCCAGGAGGTCGAGTGGGTAGATGGGATGAAGGAATGTTCATGTTCCTGCCATGAAGGGAGTAGCGATCTCAAGCTAAAGAAAAGCAAAAGGAGGACCTGCAGCCATTGTAGTAGTAAGGTTAGTTGATAGGCCAAGTCATTGGAGTGGTGAGTGGGAAGTGGAGTCCTGCCAAGAGTCCCCTGTTGTGATGATCTGTTCAGCCTCGGGCCTCACGTCTCCAAAATAACACCTTGAGGAGAAAGTAAATCCAAAGATGACCCCTTGGGAGCTCTGACTGCACTACCTGGCCTTCCCCTGTCTATCTCCTGCCCCTCCAGGAATACTGCAGACGCAAGGGCTGAGGTGTTAGGTTTGGGTCGGCATACCACCTCTGTAATCGTGTGCCTCTATGCATCTGCAGGTGTGTGAAACCAAATTTTATAAAAACAAAGATTCTCAAGAGCTGCCTGTAAGCCTTGTTCAGCAAGACTCAAGTCCTCGGCCTGAGGGGAAAGATTCTGGAATGTCTAAGGAACCTGCAGAAGAAAGCCTGGAGAACAGAGATGAGGGAGAGGATGTCCAGAGCAGGACAAAAACACCGTCTAGGAAAGTGGACTCTCTGGCTTCAGGTATGGGAAAGTCTCGTGTACAGACAGGTAGATACTCCTCTCCGAGCTGGTTCACAAAAATGAGAATATCGGGTTTTCTAATGCAGATTTATTGAGATGAGAATTTCTAATAATCTCTTCAAGCGTATCGCAGAACCCGACTTTGGGTTTTTTTTTTTTTTTTTGTGGGGGGGGGGGTGTCGGAGTGTTTTTCCCTTGTATCCACTCCGGATGTTCCATATATCCAGAGCTTTCCATCAAAAAAAGCTTTCCTGCCGAGAGAGATGTTCTGCCCTCTTCAGAATGATTGGTCCATTTGGGCTTAGCTCATCAGCATACTAATCTGAGTCCCAGTCCTACCAGTCCGTGATATCGGGGGTTTTCCAGTTTCGCTTCAGCACAGCAATTCACAATCGCCATCTCTCTCCTATTCCTTTGAAGTGATCTCCTTCAGTCTGGGAAACACGATTACTGCAGGATAACCCACCCGAGCGAGATCCCCTCCTTTCCGTAACCCTCTCTCTGCTCAGGCGGTTCAGACACGCGCAGGTTAAATGCAGCGGTTCGGGCGTAACACACCCTGCTGCCTGGTTTGTGGCGGCTCTGTAAACAGGGCGCCAGGAGCAGCAACATCTGTTTCCCTTGAGAACTGTGTTCTGGGGGCTCCACTTCAGCGCTCTCACGCGTTCAACGCTTCACACAGCAGCTGGTTGTAAACCCACCGTGGTGAGGAAAGCTGGCTGCAGCGTGTCTCTTCGAAGTAGGGGGTGGGTTAAACTGCAGAGAGTTACAAAGCTGCTCCCAAGCTGTGTTCTCATTTACAGCCTTACGCTCTAGAATCACAATAATAATTTTAAAAAGCAAATGATCAAAGCCTCCAGAAGCCTCCTACTAACAGCTGGTGTAAACCTATCTGGGTTTCTCATCAGGGTCTCACCTGGAAGGAAAGATTGTCCCCGGTAGACACGCACCTTCTGAAAAAGCTGCCCTGCCTGACAGTCAGCTTCAAGAAGCAGGTGCCAGTGCTGCTGTGAACGCTGCAAAGGACAGTGACTCTTCCATCACTGGCCCCAGATGGACGCATCTGCAAAAAGCTACTCCAAAACTACCTCAAGAAACCAAAGACTGCCCGTGCACTGTGGGAAGTGAGAGTGAGGGACCAGCCCAGCAGCACCAAGGACACGCAGAAGCTTCCCTTGGACTGAGCAGAGATCTGCTGCTGTCTTCTTGTTCTGCTACAGTGAAAGGTTTAGGGGGACCCAGTTCCTCTTGTGGGAACAGTTCATGTCAGACCGCAGGGCTTCAGTCGGATTCAGCAGAGAAGCTTTCCGTCTTCGGTCATGCTTCAAAATCGGGTGTGAAAGAACTGGAGGGATCACCTTTGCCTCCGGAAGGAAAACCTGACACAAAGCAGGGTTGGGTAGTGCTGGCTAGAAAAGCAGCCCTGGGTAGCAGCTGCGGCTCAGAGTCCCCTGGTAATCGCGTTGCGGAAGCAGAGGATACGGGCTGCACTGGAAATTCTCCTGAGAGCAGATTAAAGTCAAGTGCAGGCACGTGCTTCCAGGTACATCAGCATTCTGAGCAGCCAGAATACAGAGCGGTTACTGCCTCCCTGGGGCAGAAGGAAGAGGAGCAGCAACAGCAGCGAGTCACAGAAGCAACTGTGTGTGCCAAGAACAGCAAAGTCAGCTCGACTGGGGAGAAGGTTGTCCTCTGGACCAGGTACGTCCTGCTCTGCACCGTACGTCCTTCCTGCTTTCGGTATCTGGCTGCAGCTTTGGTACTGCAGAGTATCCTTTATTTTCATTTTGTATTCCCATTCTCCAATGTCGCCTGCCCCGTCCCCTTGAACATTCCTGCCTTGTTTCCTCTAACCACAGCCCGTCATCGCTGCCGTCTTGGCCCTGAGAAGTGCTGTCTGCTCATGGCGTTGCAGTTCTTGTACTTCAGGCTGGGAAAGAGGTTTTCTCCTTCAGAAAGCTTAAGACCAGGCTCAGTGCAGCTGAGCTTAGGGATGTGTCTTGTGCCTGGTGGTGGGGGTCGTCGCGAAGGACCGAGCCTGCTGGCTGCTCCGTTATCCTTACCTGGGGGCTGGGCCGTGCAGAGCTCCTTTTCAGCTGCTTTCCTAACGCCTGTGCTGTTTTGCAGGGAGGCTGACAGAGTCATCCTCACCACCTGTCAGGAGAAAGGAGCCCAACTGGAAACCTTCCAGGCCATCTCACAGAAACTGGGCAACAAGACTGCTAGTGAGGTGAGGGCTTGGCCTGGAACAGCTTCGCATCTGTAGGGTGAACGGGGAAGGAGGGTGGGAAGGCGGAGGTTTGCTGCCACGTGTCTCCCAAAAGTAACTTTAATTTGCTGCATTAGAGAAATATTGTTCCAATTTGAAAGGAAACCAAAACAATCCCTGATCTGCTGAGCCAGAGCCCCTGGCTGCCATGGCCCTTTTCACGTTACCACGTCCAGCATTTCATTTGGTACCAGCATTGTTCCCGTGACTACTCCTTAGTCTTCAGCCTTCCCCTGAATACAAGGAACGTCCGGTTTTCTTGTAACCTCCCCACATCGCTGCCTAGGAGTCTTCCCAAACTGCCAGGTTTTACCTTTGTCCAAAGAAAACGGAACCACCCGGTGCTCTTCCCTTTCTCTTTAGGACTGAATCTTGTGTGAACTGTGATTGTGTCGTTACTTTAACGGAAAAGCACAAAACCCAGGGAGTTCGTAATCCGCAATTCCCGTTTCATACCACCGTTTACGTGACTGGTCACCTTGGATTTCCCTTGTTCTTCAGGTATCCCACAGGTTCAGAGAACTGATGAAGCTGTTTCACACATCCTGCGATGGCAGCTCTGAAGATGAGGAGGATGCAACTAGTACCAGTAACACAGACCAGTTGTCGGATAAAGATCTTCTGCTTTCGGAGGAAGAACCCGATGACTGAGGTTGGTCTGGCTCGGTTAGCCACTGCAGGAGGAGGAGAACTGTTTGCTGCTAGACAGGTGCTGTGGGTAAAGGACAAATATTTGCACTGGTACTTAAGACAGCACCTTTTTTTGTTGCTCACTTTCCTGCTGCGCTTCTCAATCTGTATCACACTAAAGGAGTGAAGAGTTGGGAGGGGGATAACATCCTCTAGAACCCAAAATGAGAGAAGCGATGCTTGTGGACACTGACCTCGGGCCGTGACGAAGACTGGGCCACCAGCTTCTGAGCAGAATGTATAAATATTGTACCACAAGATGTCTGTTTTCATGTGGAACAAACACATGAGGTTTTTTTGTATGTTTTCCCTTTGTGTTGACTGTACGTAGGGAAGTTACAGAATTCAGGTTGTATTTATTGCGTGGTCTTGTTCTAACAGGCAAATTCACTTTGCCAAGTTAAAAAAAAACCCCAGCCCAAAACCCAAACACAACAGCCCCAGAAAAGCAGCTTTCCTCCTCCACAACACAACTGCAAGTAGCTGGACACCTTCAGCCTTTGCAACAGGATTTTGCTGAAAGGAAAAGGAAGTAGCAGTTGGGCCATCGTTTGAGCCCTTCCCTTTATTTTGAAAGTGATATTCTTACTTTCACTATCTCTAGTAATAAAGATGAGTTAGTCTGAATCTGCTTCATCCTCAGATTCAGCTGCTGCGGAGCCCGTTTCGTAGCACTGTGACAGAGTTCTTAGCTCCTGCAGGGCCTCCTGGAAGTCGTCCTGTTCCACTCCAGCGGAGAAGAAGCTGGCCCATCGCCGCGTGTTCAGCTTCTGCAGATCCTTGTATAAGCGGTGGAGGAGCGTGTGCAGAACCGGGGACGACTGCAGGGCCGCCAGGACAGGGATGCTTTCAACGGCTGCAGGCAGAAACACCTCTGAGTACACCCACCAAAACGCGATTCCCCTACCCTGCCCCGCAAGCAGCTGCTTTACTTGAACTCGGTGTCGCCTAAGAGTTGTTTAACCCGCATCCCGCCCTACAAGCACTCACAAGCGTCGTATTTTAAATACTTCTGGTTTACTCCTGCCCCCATGCCATCTCTTCCTGTGGCAAAGTAACAGCTTGTTACCTGCTGAGGAGAAGCTGGGAGGTTTGTCCTGGAGGTAGCCTTGTCTGGTCAGAAGAGTAGAAAAAAACTGGGGGTAGGGAGGTAGGGTGTAACATGGCTGCTGCAGCACATGGGCTGTGCTGTAAGGAAGAAGGTGGATAGTTACCCAAAACTCCCTCTACCTTTGGGTTCTGGCTAGTGACAAAGGGATGCTACTAACCTGAACGCCCCCGGAAAGCGAGCGTGTAGGTAATGCTGCAGAATCTGCTCCGCACTCTCACGGGCGCGGAGTGGAGAAGCGGGCTGCTTTCCCGGAGGGCTGCTGCAAGGAAAACCAATTCGTGGTTTTCCAGGGGAAAACCGTGGCAACTCGGCACCTTTTTACCCACTTCGCTGTGACGCAGCGACACGCAGGTACCTAGAGCGTTGGGCTGTGTTCAGCTGAACAGCCCTAACGGAAGGATTGTGAGTGCCTGGGGCAAGGAGTGATGCCCCTCCAAAGGGCAGAGGGCAGTTCAGAAGCTTGTTACCTGACGGGACTTTCTTTGCAAATTCCTCGTAGCACAACAGACTGAGCAAAACAGCAGCCGCCCTGTTTTGAGGACAGAAGCTGCCAGGGCACGTCCTGCTGGAAGGCGCCCAAAGCGTCGGGGAGCGAGTAGCCACGTAGGGCAGGAAAGGGAACCGAAGCCCACGCAGCCACAACCTAGGGGTTGGGAGAGGGTGACAAATAGCAGCCGGAACACGCTCCCCGCGTCCTGCGCTCGCGGGACAGCAGCTCCCGCCTCCGGCAGCGGTTTGGGCAGGGCTAGTCCGAGGGTGCCGTTACCTTTCTCCCCGAGAAGTTGAGTGTTTCAGCGAGGTGCATCATGGAGCCCTGAGAGGCACAGAGGCGGTAAGGCACAGTCAGGGTATCGAGTGCGGCTGCCAGAATCGCGCTGCTGTGGTAGTTGAGCGACGCCTGCGGAGGAAGAGTCACAGGAGGCGTTAAATTCACCTGTCCCGTCACAGATATCTGCATATTTAAGTGTACTGCAAACTGTGCTGTTACAGAGGTGTTTAACTGGGTTTGGGTGAGCAAGT